GAATGTGTGAGAGGAGGAGGAGGAGCTGCTCTGGGTGCTGCAGGAAATGCAGCTCAGGTGGATGGATCAGACAAAACCCAAAGTGTGGGGGGTGTCACCAGTGAAGTGTCTGAGTGGTGAGACCATCACCTGCCCAGCCCCTGCCCTTGGCTGGCCAAGTGTCCAGAGTCCCTGTGCCAATGGCCATCCCACGTGGGCAGTGCCATCGGTGTCACAGGAGGTCCCTGTCACCCCTCTCTCCCTGCTCTCCACATTAATCCCCCCCAGACTTCATCTCTGGTGCCAGTGAACCCACGGCACATTCTACAGGAGTCATTCCAGCTGGAAGTGATCGAGGTGGCCTCAGGATTCTCAGACCCCCGTGCAGGGTGGGGGTGGAGGGGGATGTGCCAGGCTCTGCTCCCCACCTCGTGCTCCACAGAGCTCCTCCTGGGCCCTCCCGGGGCCGGGACCTCGCTCAGGGCTCACTTTTGGCTTCTGCTTTCCATGTTCCAAACCCAAACACGAGGAACGGACTTGGCAGGGTTTGAATCAGCCCAGGCATTTGTCTGGCTTGAGCCAAACCTGATTCCAGCATCAACAAACTGGGACTTTTTAGCCTTATTTTGTTACACACACGCACATTTCCCTCCGGCTGCGCTGAGCCAGCACATCTCACGTTTCTCCAAAGAGGAGCTCGTTTTCCTGAGCTTTCCCATCCAGTGAGTTCTGCACAGCATCCAGGTGTTTGGAAACTCTCTGTTCCTTTGCCCACCAGTGCTTGAACTCAGTAGGAAGGAGCACGGGAAGCCTGGGTTTGGCTAAAACGAGGAGTTTCCAAAGCAGAATCTCCTTGGCTCCGAGTCACAGGACCCTCTTTGCCCCAGAACATTCCTCTTCAGTGGAATATTTTAGATGCTTACCAGATGACCCATCTGGTTTTTTCCAAATATGCATTGCATCTTGCCTGGGAAATGGGGAAAGGGGGATTCTGAGGAGCTGGAATATGATGTATGGGAGCAGAGATGTAACACAAACCACCCCGTTACTCATCGCACGGAGCCGGGGAGGGACGGCTGGGATGTGTGTCCAAAAGCAGGGCTGGATCCAAAAGCCTCCGTGTGGAATGTAAATATTATCTCTGCCAGGGAAAAAGTGATTTCTTAATGTCCCAGAGTCGGTGAGGTAAAATATGGCAGGGAAATAGAGGAATAATCAATGTATAAGTGCGGCCCTTCAGCATGGGCACCGTGGGGGCTCCTCCAGACCCCGTGGTGAGGGGTGTCAGGGTCTGGGGTGTGTGGGTACATCAGGGTGGGTGGTTCTAAAGCCCCTGTTACCTACAGGGACCTGTGGCCAGGATGCTGTGGACACGTGGAGTCTGACCCTGCCCACAGGGAGCTGTGCCTGGGCTTCATCCCGGGCGCAGCAGCCCTGGCGTGGCAACGCTCCCATCTGGAATGGGCAAAGAGAAAAACCCCTGGCAGCTCACAGATCCCCCAACTCCTGCAGACACAGACAAGGGACATGCTGGTCCTCATGGGAACTCCGCTGGGATGGGTTTCAGAGAATCATCATGGAATGGTTTGGGTGGGAAGGGACCTTAAAGCTCATCCCATTCCACCCCCTGCCATGGGCAGGGACACCTCCCACCAGCCCAGGGTGCTCCAAGCCCCGTCCAACCTGGCCTGGGACACTTCCAGGGATCCAGAGGCAGCCACAGCTTCTCTGGAACCTGTGCAGGGCCTCACAGGGAAGAATTTCTTTCTGATATCCAATCCAAATGGATCCTCTCTCAGTTTCAAACCATTCCTAGGGATGTCATCCCTGGGCTTCCTCAGAAGTTTCTTCGTGAAGTTATTTCCTATTTCCCTGTGCCCTGGTAATCAGTCCCAGCACTCTCCTCCCTGCTGGAGACAATGACATCCCCACACTTGGTACAGCTTCAGGGGGATGAAATCATCTGGGAGGCCTCCAAGTTGGCTCCGTGGCTTGTGGTTGGGATCACAGACCCAGCAGACGTCCATGAGACGTCTCCAGAGACGTCCATGAGTTTTCCAGGCTCAGAAGAGCACAGCTGGGAGCTGGCAAAGCCACCTCAGCCTCAGCGTTCCCCCAGCCTGGAGCCTGGCACTGTGTGCCCATGTGTTCACCTCTGCCAGGTGTCACTCCAGGTGGGACAGTGGCTCTGCCAGGGCTGTCCTGCAGTCCCTGTTTGCAGGAAGGTCCTGCTGCCTCTCCTCCAGGACCACGTTCCTCTTGGTGCCCAGGGTGTGAACCCAGGACAGTGTCACCTGAGACTCTCCATGGGCTGGTCCCTTCCTGTACTGACCATTTGGATTTTATAACCCTCAGACCACGGGAAAAGGGGACTAAAGAGCTGGAATCAGCTCAAACTGCTGGAAAAAGCACAGTTTGCTGCCCCATCAAACTTCCTAGACAGAAACATCCAATTTTAAATTGGGTTTTAGCACTGGCACAGGTTGGGCAGAGAAGCTGTGGCTGCCCCTGGATCCCTGGAAGTGTCCCAGGCCAGGTTGGACGGGGCTTGGAGCACCCTGGGCTGGTGGGAGGTGTCCCTGCCCAGGGCAGGGGGTGGAATGGGATGAGTTTTAAGGTCCCTTCACACCCAAACTTTTGGGATTCTATGGAATACTCCTGCCCTGGGACAGTGATAAAGGTGACTCCTGGAGGGGCTGAGAGCACTTGGATCAAATCAATGTGTGCAAAGAACTGGTGGGAGAGACTGAAGAAAACTGAGGCAGAGTCTTCCTTCTCCAAGGTGCCCAGGGAGGGGAGAGGAGGCAACAGGCTTTTGGGAATTCTGTCTGGACATAAAAAGTACTTTTTTTCCCCAAGGCTGGTCAAGCACAGGTTGCTCCAAGAGGCTGTGGGGTCCCTACCCCTGGAGATCCTCAAACCTCAGGGAGAAGGTCTTGAGCAGCCTGTGGGCTGACCCTGCTCTGAGGGCTGGGAATGGCCAATCCCACCCTGGCCATGCTGGGATTTCTGGGCTCTGGGGATCAGCACTTTTCCATTGCCTTTCGGAGGGCTTGCTGTGCATCCCCAGGTGTGCAGTTCTAGGGGAGTCCAATTTGGAGAAATAAGAGATGGGGGAGTAGATTTTTCATTGTGTGGGAAATAAAATGACCCATTTCCTAACCGTGCCCCTCCCTGTGTTGCAGGTTAGAAGGGCAGCAGAGGCTGGACAGCAATTCAGGTAAGGGTGGATGGATGGATGGATGGATGGATGGATGGATGGATGGATGGATGGATGGATGGATGGATGGATTTCTCTTCCCACCTCCAGCAGTGCATAGGACTGAGCTCCTGTCAGCTTCCTTCTCCCATCCTTCATCTCCTGTTTCTACACCAGGAACAGTCCCACCTGCCCATCCCTCTGCAACGTTCAAAAGGATGCTTTTCATAAATCCCAGAATGGTTTGGGTTGGAAGGGACTTAAAGCTCATCCCATTTCTCCCCCTGCCATGGGCAGGGACACCTCCCACCAGCCCAGGATGCTCCAAGCCCCGTCCAGCCTGACCTTGGACACTTCCAGGGATCCAGGGGCAGCCACAGCTTCTCTGCCCAACCTGTGCCAGGGCCTGCCCACCCTCACAGCCAGGAATCCCTTCCCAATCTCCCATCTGTCCCTGCCCTCTGGCCCTGGGAAGCCATTCCCTGTGTCCTGTCCCTCCGTGCCTTGTCCCCAGTCCCTCTCCAGCTCTTGTGGAGCCCCTTTAGGCTCTGGAAGGGGCTCCAAGGTCTCCATAAAGTGGGAAAACACTGTTACCTTCAGTGGGAGCAGCGTTGTCCCCCATTTTGTTGGTGTCACTTCCATGGCAAGAGGCCTCGGCAGGGATTTGGGACCCCGTGGTGATGGACTCTGTCCAGATGTGCCACAACCACCACCTCCACCCCCAGAAAGCCAGGGCTTTAAATTGCAACAAGGCCCAACAGATGGACAGACAGACAAGTGGCTCCGAGGGCGAGGGGAGGGAGCTCTGTGTGACAAGTGTGACAGTGTCTCCACAGACCTGAACCAGATCCTTATCTTCCCCCACCTGAAACGCTCCTGGGAGGGCACTGCTCGGGTTTCCACACTCCCTGGATGTTTGCCATGATTCCCATCACTCCCCATTCCCCCTGGGAAGCAGGGCCCTGGCACAAAACCTACCATGGGTGCACCTGTCATTGGCCAGAGAGGGACAGGGGCAGGGACAGGAGGGACCTCCCTCTGGGACCTTTTCCCTCTCACTGCAGGTTGGGTGGTTGTAGGAACCAGGCAGGAGAAGGTCTCTTATCTGTAACTGAGCCCCTGTGGTCACGGCCCAGGAGAATCAGTGATGGATCCAACCACGGTTTAGGATAAACCCACCACCAATTCCCACCAGTGTCCTGTGCAGGCAACTGGCAAAGGAGAAAAAAGGGGATTTGCCCTTCCTGTCTCCCAGCCATTTGAGGAGCGGAAGGAGAGAACCCCAGAGGGGCTTGGGAGCCTTTCTGACAGTTTTTGCATTAGAAATTCAAGTCCTGCCTCATCTGGGAAACAATCTGGTAACTCAAGAAGGAGTGAAATTATAGCGTTGGAGGGGGAGCCAGCACAGGGAGCTGGTTGGGCCAGCAGAGTGGGGCTTTTCTTCAGGTCCCTCTACCCTGAGGGCTCTGTGGGAAGGGATGTCTGTGCCCCTGTCACCCCTCAGCACTGATGTGGAGATGAGGAGCTCCCGCCCCCCACCAGAGCCCAGCAGGGCCTCCAGCACCTCCAAGGAGCAGCTGACAAGCTCTGAATTAGAGACCAGTGAGAAAATGAGAGAGGGGAACCCCTTTCAGGCTTCTTTATCCTCCAGAAAGAATGAAAAAGGACAGAAAAGCTAAAACAGCCCTTTAAACTGTGGTGGCTCTTCCACCTGGAAGAATTTGTCCCTGGAAAGGGTGGTCAGGCACTGGCACAGCTGCCCAGGGAGGTTTGGAGTGCCCAGCCCTGGAGGTATCCCAGGAAGGCACTCAGTGCTCTGGGCTGGGGGACAGGGTGGGGATGGGGCACAGGGGGGGATCCACGGGTTGGGAGGGCTTTTCCAGCCTCGATGATCCTGGGATTCTCCAATTCCTCAGGTTCCTCCCAATCCTGTGTGTCCAGCTGTCAGGGATTTAGGAGTTCATGTTTCCTGGGTTCTCTGAGGTCCGAGGAGCTCCGGGGTCAGTGGGACTCTCGTGGGTACCACAGGTTGGGTCTGCTCTGAGCTTGCCCTGGGCAGCTGTGCCAGGGTTGGACAGCCCTTTCCAGGAAGGAATTGTTCCTGATATCCAACCTGCCCCTCCCCTGGCACAGCTGGAGGCCGTTCCCTCTCCTCCTGTCCCTGTTCCCTGGGAGCAGAGCCCGACCCCCCCTGGCTCCCCCCTCCTGTCAGGGAGTTGCAGAGAGTGAGAAGGTCCCCCCTGAGCCTCCTTTTGCCCAGGTCCCAGCAGGGACACGTGGCTCTGTCTCTGCCCCACGGGGCTGGGCTGGAGCTCTGCTCTCTGTGGATCCTGACGGGTGTTTTTCTGGTGCCGCAGGCACGGAGGTTGCGCTTGCGATCGAGGGACGTCTGCCATCCCTGGGAAGGGGCACGTTCCAGCCCATCCATCACCATCGTGCAACTGTGACCGATCTCCACCACCTGCTGCCAACACAGCTCTCCCAGAGCCACCTGGAGGGCTCTCCCAGAACCACCCGGGGGGCTCTCCCCAAAACACCCGGAGGACTCTCACCTGCCCTTAGGCCATTGCATGTTCCCTCGGTGTGTTTCCCAGCGATGACCACACCATGTCCCACCCGGCTCAGCGAGTCATGGGAGGCTTAAAAAAAAACAAAAAAACAAAAAAAAAACCAACCTGAAAGGAACCTGCTGGTGGCTGTTCCCACTCCATGTGCGGCTCCGTTCCCATCTCCTCCCAAACGGTGCCACCGTCACGTCACACGCGGATCCTTCCTCCTTGTGTGCGTGGAAAAAGGAGTGCAGACCCTCCTGGGGTCCCTCCTGCGTGGCACGAAGGGGATTCTCTCTCAAAAACCCACCTTCTGACACGCTGGAGTCGGGTGTGGGGTGTGTCCTCCCGGGGGTGGGGGGTGGGTGCAGGTGGCGGGGTCTGACCAGGGGGTCGTGATGGGCCACCAACCTCCCGCATTCCCGGCCTCGCTGGGACCGGCTCTCACCAGCTGTGAAAGCTCTCCCATCCTGAGCAGGGAATGGCCAGGCTGAGAGCTGCATCTCCACTCCCAGCATCAGGGGTTGGGTCCAGTTTTGGTTAAAATCAAAGGAAATAAGGGAGGGGGGGTGGGGGGGGCAGATCCCCTCTGACCCACGCTGGGCTCCTCTTCCATCGCTGGTTCCCAAAACACGGCCACCAGTCCAAGTCATGGGTGGTTTTCAGCATTTTTTTCCCCCCCGTGGTGCTTAGGAATGTTATTTTTAGTGGAAGGAGCCGAGGGCCCTGATGCATCTATAAATATTTATGGAGGGTGATGGATGGAAGGGAGAGACAAACCCTGGGAGCGCCCTCGGCTCTGCCCCTCCCTGCACCGACCCGGGGCCCACGAGAGAGGGAGAATAAACACCCACGGTGGCCACAGGTTTGGCTGGGTGTAAATATTGGGAATGAGCTGCCAAGGAGGGAAGGGGAGCCATGAGAACCTGGAGTGGCACAGTCAAGTTGAGCAGGGATGGGAATGGGGACAGGGAAAGGGATGGGGATGGGAACAGTGATGGGGGAGAGGGACAGGAATAGGGATGGAGATGGGGACAGAGGATGAGAAGGGGGTTGGGGACAGGAATGTGAATGAAGATGAGGATGGGGACGGGGACAAGTCCTGCAGCATCCTTGGCTGTGGCTATGGGCAGATCCAAGCACCAAAACTAGGGATGTTTTGCCAGTGGCCCTGCCAGGGTGGTGACAGTCATCAGGAGCTGGGGATGTCACAGAGGTTGGAGTCTTCCCACTGCCAGATGGAGGGCTCACACTGGCAGCACCCACCGGATTGAGACTGCCAGGGAATTTTGCAATTCCCTGGGGCAAAACCCACCTGAAGGAAAACGCACCTTAAGGCATTTTCCCACGGGAATTCCCCGGGGCAGAGCCATGTCCTTGCACTGGTGTCCCCCATCTGCTGCTGGGGGTTAACGCCAGGAGAGGGACACCCCCCTTCCCACGTGGCAGGGAACAGGGATGGGAGCCTCGTGGGGTCCCTCACCAGCTGGTCTGTTGGTGCCACGCACAAGGACAGTGGTGGCCTTGGCTGCTCGTGCCGTCCTGGGCACACACAGAGGCTCTGTGCATCCCCAAGGCCCGGCCATGCCTGTGCAGCCCGAGTGTCCCTGGGGGTTGCACCAAGCTTCGGTGCCATTCCCTATTCCTGTGGGCATGGAGGAGCGTGGGAGCGAGTGGGATTGTCCCTGGGAGTGGGATTGTCCCTGGGAGGGGGATTGTCCCTGGGAGGGGGACTGTCCCTGGGAGGGGGATTGTCCCTGGGAGGGGGATTGTCCCTGGGAGGGGGACTGTCCCTGGGAGCAGCTGGCGAAGCTGCGCCAGAGCCGATGCCGTAAGCGCGGGGAACGTCTCCAAGAGCAGCCTGCGAGCAGGGAGCCATGTTCTGTCATCCGCCAAATATTTAATAAATCCATCTTCTCCCCGCGGGGTGTCTTGTCCCTTCGCCATGTGGAAAAGGCAGGGATCTGATGAAAAAGGGAAGGAAGGGTTTTCCTGGGAAGCGCCTGCTCGGAGGCAGGAGCAGCTGCGGGCGCTGTGCCCTGGGGCCGCGCGGCAGAGCCGGAGATTCCCGCATTGGTCATGGCTGCAGGGAGCGCACAGAGCTGCCAGTGTTCGGGCCCTCGGCACGGCGCCGCAGCTGCCCCGCCGCCAGATGTGCCCCCGCCCCACACCCCACACATCTGGCGGCAGCAGGACGGGCTCGGGGGGCGTTGAGGCGGCAGCACCCGCAGCAGAGCCCCTGGCCCCTCACCAGACACTCCCCAGGGGTGTTGGGTCAGTTCAGCGACGCTCCCTCCAATGCAGGGCTGGTGACAGCCTCGTGCCCCGGCTTGGTGGAGGGTCACAGCTGGCACCAGCTCTCCCAGGGGATGCCCAGTTCCCACTGCCAGACCCAGTGGTGATGCCGGGCAGCTGGACCCTCCCACCACCACTGCCAAGGGACCCCCTGCTCACACCGTGCCGGCAGAGCCACCGATGGAAACCCTGATCCCAGAACCCACGGGATCCCGGGTGCAGGTGCATCCCCCCCTGCTCCCCAGCCCCGATCTGGCACAGCGCTGCCCCTCTCCTGCTGCTCATTCGTTTTAGGGATTAGGTGCCTCGGTGGGAAAGATCCAGACCCTTTCCAGAGCCGGGGGCCTGGGACAGCTTCGTGCTCCACAGCCTGGCGTGAGGTGAGAGCAGGAGCCAGACATGAGAGCCCAGGGACACCACGTGCCCATGGACTGAGTGTCACTGCACACCCAGCCCTGCCACCGCGGCACCAGCACTCTATGGGACACCGGCACACTGTGGGACACCGGCACACTGTGGGACACGGGCACACTGTGGGACACGGGCACACTGTTGGACACCGGCACCCCCACGGGTTTTGCCTGTCCCCAGCACCGGCACCGTCCCTGCCAGAGCCCCTGTCAGCCCGTGCCCACCACCTCACCATCACAGGTTCCTGCCGTCGGTCCCTGCCTGGGGACACGGACCCACCGCGGTTTCTGGTGAGGCCTCGGTGTGCCCCGAGCTGCCCTCGGGCACAACCTCCCCTCCGGGACCCCGAGCACGGCGAGGGTCCCCCCAGCCATCCTGTGCCCCCTGCCACGGGGACGTGGGTGCAAACTCAGGAGCAATGCAGGCTGCAGCCAAGTCCACCAGCACCACTACCCCTGTCCCTACCCCATCCTTGTCCCGTCCCCATCCTTGTCCCGTCCCCATCCTTGTCCCGTCCCCATCCTTGTCCCGTCCCCATCCTTGTCCCGTCCCCGTCCCTCTGCTCGTCCAACAAGCAATAACCCTTTCACACCTCATTAGAGCCGCAATTAACCCCGATTACCCCCAGCTGCGGGGGGGGCGGGGCAGTTCCTGCTCAGCGTGAGGGGCAGCAGATGGGCTCGGCCCCACAGAGACTCCAGGGTGACCCCAAGGTCTCTGCGCGCACCAAGGAGACACCAGGGACCCCGTGTGGCCCACGGAGAGCTCAAGGGCCTCACGTGCCCCAGGTATCCCAAACACTTCAGGAAGACTCCAGGGTCTCTGTGCACTCCAAGGAGCCGTCAAGGATCCCGTGTACCCCGGGGACCCCACTGATTTGCGGGGAGGGCGAGCCCCGACCCCCGCAGCCCCCCCCCCCGGGCAGCCTCCGAGGGGGAGCCACAGCTGGGGACACCCGGTGTCCCTTCACACGTGGCCGGGGGCTCGTGTCAGCGCCAGACCCCTGGGCCGGGGCTGCTCCCCGGGCTCCCCCGGCCGCTGCGGCTCCTTCCACCCCCGGATCGATGCCTGCGCTCCGGCCGCCGCTGCGCTCCTGCCCTTCATCCCAGCCCTCCTCCTCCCCTTTCCCCCACCCAGGGGAGCGCCGAGCGGGGTTATCGGTGGGCAAACAAGGCGCCGGGCGGGACCCCACGGGTGTGGCCGCAGGTGCCGGGGACCCGGCACACGGAGCCTGTCCCGGCTCGGCGTGGCTGCGGCCCCTCCCCGGGGGTACCGGACCGCGCCGTGCCCACCTGCCCTCGCACCCCCGTGTGACACACGCTGTGTCCCCGGGGACAGCCACTGCCACGCGCTCCCAGTGCCAGGAGCGCTCCCACGCCCCACGGCTGCTGCGTGCCGGGGGTGGCACGAGCCCAGGGGTGGCACTGGGGGACATGGCCCGGGGGACACGGCCCCACTGAGCCCCTCCCAGCACCCTCCTGCCGCGGGCACGGCCGTGGGTCGGGGGGTGCGCGCCAGGGGCCGGGGCACGCGGGGTCACCCCCGGGCTGTGGGATGTGGGGACTGTCGGCCATTTCTGCTTGTGCAGGAATTCGGCGGCGATTGCATAACGAGGAGCCCTCGGAGCTGGAAACCAGGTCAGGCGGGAGCGGGGGGAGCGGGGACAGCGGGGACAGCGGGGACCGGCCACAGCTGCTCACCCTCCCCGCGCTGAGGCAGCGGGAGCTGCGCTGCGGGATCCACACGCCGGGAACGGCACCAGGACACGGCACGGCCGCCCTGCTCAGCATCGAAGTGCGGAGAGCACGGGGGGGGGGTCCCTCAGGCCGTGGTGGCATCACGTCTTCGTCCCTGGGATCCCTCTGGCTGTGGTGGCATCACACCTGTATCCCCTGGCATACCTTGAGCCACGGTGGCATCATGCCTGAGTCCCTTGGGGTCCCTCAAGGCACGGGGCCACGCCACCTCTATCACTTTGGGTCCCTCCAGCCACAGTGGCATCACACCTGCATCCCACCAGCTCCGTCTGGCCATGGTGGCATCGTGCCTGTGTCCCTTGGGGTTTCCTGAGCCACAGTGGCATCACACCTGTGTCCCCCTGGTCACGGTGCCATCCCCTGCATCCCTCTGTGCCCCTGTGGCCACAGTGCCCTCACACTTGCATCCCTTGGGGTCTCCATCCCTTGGCTGGCACTGCTGCAGCCCTTGTTACCCCACACCACCCCCCACAGCCCACCAGTGCCGCCGGTGACAGTGCCAGCAGCGTGCCATGTCCTCACACCATGTGTCTTCAGGGCCTGTCAGAGGTGCCTGTGGAAGGGACATTCCCACCCTGGCACGAAGAGTGCCACCCCCAGCACCCCGAGTGCCACCACAGCACACACTGACTGTGCCACTGCCCCGTGTGTGACACCAGCTGTCCCCACGCCGAGGGGCCCAGCTGCTCCCCGGGCGGTGTCACTGTCACCGGCTTCATTTGGCGCCCGCCCTCCAGGCGAGATTAATTAATCCAATCCCTGTGCCCGCCCCGGAGGGACCTGCCTGTGCACGGGCAGCTGTTGTCCTGTCACCCAGCCTTGCTGCTGCTGCTCTCTCAGTGATGAGGCCGAGCTGCTGGTGGGGGTCTCAGTGGGGGGAAAAGCTCAGGGACCCCCAGCTCTGCTGGGGTAAGGGGTGAGCAGCTGGTACCTGGGGAGCACCAGTTCCAGTTAGAACATTCCAGCAGAGCGTTGGGGCCAGCTGGTTCCTGGTGCTGCCCCATCCATGGGCCGGACAGGTGGTCAAAAGTACAGAGGTGGGACCTGCCACCCTCCTCCAGCCACCCTGATCCCCTGGTTAGGGATTATCCCTGGGGATAATTGCACCTGTTACTTAAAGAAGCTGTCAGGGCAGGAACAGTTACAGAGGAGTTGGTGGGGCAGGAGAGCAGGAACGTGGGGGCAGGTGGGCACCACGCTGCCAGTGTGGCCATGGCACCATCTGAGCCCTCACGTGTCCTGGGATGGAGGGATGGGGCTGGAAAGGCTGAACACTGGTGGCTGAGCAGCTCTGAGGATGTAGGGGGTTCTCAGGGGCACAGCCCTGGCTGGAGGGCTCTGTAGCCTTTTGAGGGTCTTTGGAGCAGGGAAGGGATGGGAGCTGCCAGCTCCCATCTGGGGGCAGCTGCCCCTTTCCAGCTGGGATCCCAGCACCCATGGGAGGCTCTTGCAGGACACCCATGAGAGCAGGCAGGGCCTATCCTTCCAGGGAATGCACCATTAATTAGCATTATTAATTAATGCCTTATTTTGCAGTGCCCCCCTGTGCACCAGGCACCTTCCAGCACTGAGGGCGAGGGAGGGCCCTGCCTGGGGGGGATCCTGCTGGGACTGCAGCACAGCCAGAGCAGGAATGGGGCTGCCAAAGCACAGCCAGATACCACTGGGCCCCTCCATCCCATGACAGGGCTTGTGGCACCAGCCTGGGACCCTGGGACTCTGGGCACTCATCCACGTGGTGCTGGATATTCCCAGGGACCCCCCAAGGTCACTCCATCCTCGGCACCTGCCGGTGCCAGCTGAGGCCCAGGCCAAGCCCAGGCTTTGGTGGACCAAAAGTATCCCTTGTGCAGGTGCTGGAGACAGCAGTGTGAGCCCCCTGAGGCTCCTCTGGCTCTTCCAGTGCTCCTCAAGGCCACCCCTGAACCCCTGATTCCAGGGGCTTCCGAGCAGCCGGTGGGTTGTCCTGGCAGTGCCCCGGCTTTTCGGTCCCACCCCAGCTCCCGTGGCACCACCAGACCCCCCTGCCAGATCCTTAAGGAGGAGTTACAAAGCCCCTTCTCCAAAGACCCCCCAATTTCCAAGGCCTCAGATCCGCTGCCGTGGATCTCTGCCTGCTGACATCCCCCAGGTGTCTGTGCCCATCACCCGGTTTCCAGTCCCCAGGGGAGCCTCGAGGCCATCACCTCACAGGGACAGGACTGAGGACACACCAATCCCCCCCCGCATTGGCCCTGGCAGCCCCTGGCCAGGGAGGATCCGGGGGGCTCCGTGCACCCCCTGAGTGGGGTACCCAGTGGGAAGAAGCTCCTGGAGACATCTGGCAGTTGCCCAAGGGGTGGCAATGGCATCATGGACCGGGGGGGACATGGCTGGCACAAACGTGGGGAAAAGGCATGGCTTGGCTTGGTCTGGCACGGCCTGGCTTGGCACGGCTGTTTGGCAGGGCTTGCCATGGCACAGCATGGCTTGGCTTGACATGGCACAGCCCTTGAGTGCACTGGGCTTGGCTTGATCTGGCACGGTCTGGCTTGGCACGGCATGGCTTAGCTTGGCTTAGCACTGCACAGCCCTTGACTATACTTGGCTTGGCTTGGACCAGCCCGGCTTAGCTTGACACAACGTGGCACAGCCCTTGACCACGCTTGGCTTGGCCCAGCCTGGCTTGGCACAGAACGGCTTGGCTTGGTCTGGCACGGCCTGGCTTGGCACAGCACGGCTTGGCACGGCACGGCACAACATGGCTCGGAACGGCACGGCTTGTCTTAGCTTAGCAAAGCCGAGCCCGGGCGGTCTGTCCGGCCCCCGGCCCGGCCCCCCGGCCGCGGTGCAGCCCGTGCTGTGCCCGTGCCGTGCGGTGCCGTGCGGTGCCGCGGCGGGCGCGGCCGGCGGGCTCTAGGACCGCGCGGCGGGCTCGGTGCTGCAGTGGAGGCGGCGGCGCTGCGGGAGGAGGCCTGGCCGGGCAGCGCAGCGGCGGCGGCGGCGGCTCGGCGGGGCTCGGCACGGCTCGGCGGGGCTCGGCGCCGGGCCCGCACCGGCCCAGGTAACCGGGACGCGGGACACGGGACACGGGCACACCGGGAGCGGCAGCCTCGGCCCCGCTCGGCTCGGGCACTCTCGGCTCCGCTCGGCTCCGTTCGGTTCGGTTCGGCTGCCGCGTTCGGGGGGGTTCGGCTCCGGCCGGTTCGGCTCGGCCGGGGCGTCCGGCGGCGTTCGGGTGTCCCCGGCAGGGGCTCGGCTCCCTCCGGCGGGGCTTTGGGTGCCCCCGGCCGGAGTTCGGGTTCTCCCGGGGGGGTTCGGGTCCCTCCGGAGCGCTCGGCCCGGTCCGGGGCGGCCCCGGTACCGCCGCGGTGTCTCCGCCGTCCCGGGCCCGCGGCAGGAAAACACGGCAGGACGGGGCCCGCTGGGCCCCCCCGGGCCCGCGCCGCCCCCGCCCGGCCCGGCCCGGCCCCGCTCGGCCCGGCCGTGCGGGCGGGGGTGGCGGCGCGGCCCGGCCCGGCCCCCGCGGCGCCGCCGTGTCCTTGAGCGCCGCGCGGGCGGCTGAAGGGCAGCGGGGCCCGGTGGCACTGCCGGGTTGTCCCCCCGGTCCCCTCTCGGCCCGCGGTGGCACCGCCGTGTGTCCCCCCTGGCAGACGCGGGGGCCGCGGCCGCCCCTGCCCTGCCCCCGGCGGAGCCTCTCGGGGGGCCCGGCCGGGCCGGCCCTGCCCGAACTTCGGGGTTTTGCACCAAAAATAGCCTCCGGGGGGGGTTGAAGTGCCGCGGGACCGGGCGGAGGGGGCGGCCGGGAAGGGGCCTGGCAGGGCGCGGGGGGTGCCCATCCTGCCCGTTCCTGCCCGCTGCTTCCCGCTCCTGCCTGCTGCTGCCTCCTCCTGCCCACTCCTGCCTCCCCCAGCTGGGCCACCGCTTGCTTCCCCCTTTCCTCTCGCTTATCCCCTTTCCCTCTTGCTTCCCGCTTCCTGCTCGCTTCCACCTTTCTGCTCGTTTTCCCCTTCCTTCTCTGTTCCCCTTCCCTCTTGCTTCCCCCTTCCTTCTCTCGTCCCCCTTCTCACTCACGTCCCACTTCCTGCTCACTTCCCCTTTCCTGCTCGTTTCCACCTTCCTTCTCCCTTCCCACTCACTTCCCACTTCCTGCCCACTCCCCCTTCCCTTTAGCTTCCCCCTTTCCTCTGGCTTCCCATTTTCCTCTTCCTTCGCCATCGCTTCCCCTTCCCTCTCGCATCCCTCTTCCCACTCGCTTCCCCCTTCCCACTCGCTTCCCCCCCACTTCCCTCCCTTCCCACTCACTTCCCACTTCCCGTTCACTCCCACTACCCTCTCCCTTTCCCTTCATTTCCCACTTCTCTGCTGCTCCCCCTTCCCTGTTGTTCCCCTTCCCCCTCACTCCCCCTTCCCTCCCACTGCCGTTTCCTCCCCCCCTTTCCGGGGTGTTTCGCCTGCGCGAACCTGTGGGCAAATGAGATTTTCCTCCTCGCTCAGTTCCTCTTTCTGTGTTTCTGCCCTTTTGTGTGACGTTGCCGGTGTCACCGCGGGACCGGCCGCACTCCGCGCTCGCCGTGCCACACTGGGCACCCACGTTCCAGGGAGCCCAGGAGCCCCCCATGGAGCCCCCGGAGCTGGCAAGGACGGAGTGTGGGACCCGGCCCTGCTGCTCCTGGCAGCTCCTGCGCCGGCTCCGGCCCCTCGTGCTGAGTCAGCTCCAAACTTCCCAGCGGGGCTGCTTTGGTGACACGCAGCTCTCTCGAGGAACGGTGGGATGTCGGTGCCCACCGGTGAAGCCGCAGCCCCAGTATCCCCGGTGTCCCCGTGCGTCCCGGGCTGCCCATGTGCCCACAGTGCTGTGCAGGGTGGGCCACAGCTGGCCCCAAAATCTGGTGGCGGCAGAGCCCCGTGCCGTGTCGTGGCAGCCGCTCAGGGACCCTCAGGCAGTGGTTTTTGTGCAAGGAATTTTTATTTCGGCACATCCCTGCCCGACGCCTTCCCACGGGCCGTGCCCTGGCGAGGTGTGGCGCCCCGAGGGAAGCGCGTGGGCTTGGCAGGTCCCGCCGGCGCGTGCCGAGGACACGCGTGTGCCAGGTGCGCTCGTGCCGCGGCGGCTGCGGCTCCGCGGGAGGAGCCGTCGGCATCGGGGCGTGCGGTTTGGTGGGATTGCTCCGGATCCCTCTCACCTGGAGGCTGCAGGTTGGTTTGGGCTCCCAGCGCTTACCTGGCATCCAGGCCCAGCTGCCTGGATCCCACTTCCCTGCCGCGGGGCTCGGCACACGCCAGCACGTGCCGGCAGCGTTGGGCCCGTTCCCGCGGTTAACCGCCGTTCCCAGTTCACAGCCCATCCCCAATCCTGATTTGGATCTCTCCAGCTCAGCTCCTGCCCCGGCTCGGCACCCGGCCCTGCTCCCCATCAGCCAGAGGGTCCCCACGGGGCCCAGGGTCTGCTCGCTGGCGTCACAGCATCTCCCGGACTTTTTTTCCCAGTAACTGAGCACATGGAGCTCCTGGATGCTCCTGGTGAGATGTTCCTGGTGCTCTGGCAGCTCCTTCATCCTACTGCTGGGTGATTCACACTGTCCCACCTGCAGAGCAGCACCACCACCCAGCACTGGGGTCTCTGACACACGTCCCTGTCCTGTCCCATCCCACCCCACCCCATGCCAGAGGCAGTTTGGTCTGCTCTTGGCCTTGCCAGCATTCCCACACCAACAGATCCAGCTGTGGGGCTGCAGCCAGTGTTTGTGTTTAGCTGTGGTGTGGAGCAGTGCAGGGCCCTGCGTCACTCCTGGGGGTGCCATGGGGTGCCGCGTGTTGTTCTGTGGGGGGCAGCACATCGCTCCTTGGGGTGCTGCGGTGCCCTGGGGTTCTGTGCATCACTCCTTGGGGTGCCATGGGGTGCAGGAAATCACTCCCTGAGGTGCCATGTGGGTGCAGGGGTGCCATGCCTCATTCCCTGGGGTGCTGTGGGGTGCTGTGTGTTGCTCTCTGCGGTGCTGTGGGGTGCAGGGGTGCCATGGGGTGCTGTGCATCGCTCCTTGGGGCACAGGGAATCACTCCCCG